TTCTCAAACAGCTTTAAAAACAACTGGTCATAGATTGAGTGCATTAAGAAAATGCTTTCATCTTATGCTAGCATCTTACAGGGTTAACAGCAGTTATCTTCTTTTGCCATAACCACAGTTGACGCCAGTGTGATCTGAAGGAGTGCTGAGGTGCAGAAGAGAGGAAAATGCAAAATGAAACCCTGACAAAATACAGCTGCACGATGTTGACTAGTGTTTGCCTGACAGATGTCTCCCCCTGCTTGAGAACACCACTAACACAAGGTACACTCCACAAATGAAGTGCCACATAAGCACATCATAACAATAGGCCACTGATACACACACATATAAAATCACACAGGTATGCACAGATGTATCACCTCACCAGGTAATGCAGATCATGCTGTCACCGCTTTCTGTGAAATACCTGTATACTCCACACTCATTGCAGCACCTGGAGAGGTTGTTCTTGCTGACATCTCACTATCTCCTGCTCCCAACTAGCTCCAAGCAGCGCTGGGAAATTAAGTATGGAGAGAGCAGAAACCTACTCTGCCCAATTTGCAGGAGTCATTTGCTATCAGACCTGCACCCAGGCCTCTCATCCCAACATCCATCCTTTCTGCCGGTCACATACTCCACATATATTCACAGAATCACAGGTTCATTAAGGTTGGAAAAGACCTCTAAGATCATCTAGTCCAACCATCCATCAACTACCAATACTGCCCACTAAACAATGTCCCTAAGTGCTACATCCACCTTTTCTTTAACCACCACCAGGGATGATGACTCCACCACCTCCTGGGCAGCCTGTTCCAATGCCTCATCACTCTTTCTGAAAATAAATTCTTCCTAATATCCAGCCTGAATCTCCTCTGGCACAACTTGAGGCCATTTCCTCTCATCCTATCATTTCTTTGTTGGATGCAAAAATCAGTTTGGCTCAGCTTGGACAGGCCCAGAATACGTAAAATGCTGAACTGCAAACAGCTCAGGGATGAGCCATACTTTTGGCAGTCCTCAAGTCTTGACTGATGACCCAACAGTAAGATTGGGATGGGGTTGCTATCCGTGCATCAGCACAACAGAAGAAAAACAACTTTACTGTTGGCTGCATCCACCTGCATTTACCTGATACGTCTGTGCTCAATTCCAAAGGTAACTGCACTGAATGAATGTGCATGCATGGAAGACAGGGCAGATCAGTGTCCTCTGCTTGCACATGAAGACTCTCAAGTGACACTGCTGAAGAAAAAGCCAGGCAGCTAAGCAGTTAGTGCAGATTCTGAGCTGCAGCCCACTGACACTTCCCACCAATACTCCAGCCCAAATAACTTTAAAGCTAACTTCAGATTCCTGCTTTTTCATATCTTGGTTTAAAGCCATACATCTGTTCTTTTCTCTCCCAGTGCCGATGGCACTCAGCAGCTATCCTGAGGACATGCCTCTTCCTAGATGGGAACCAAATCAGAATGAAGATACCTGCACAAGTATTTTCTGCAAGCACCATCCTCACAGCTGCAGATGCTTTTGCTTCTTGACCTGTAGCAAAGGGATATCATCTTCACAGCAGATGCCAGTGGACAAATTTCCTTGCATGTGTTAAAAACCATGAAATCTCTGTTCTCTAAGTAAAATCATGTACCACTTCCTCTACACAGGGTATTCTGCTACCTACATAAAACATTATTGTGATCTTTAACCTTGTGGGGGAACCATGCTGTATGCAATACTGGGGAAAAATAACATGGGAACAGGCAAACATACATGCAAAGCTCCAACATTGTTCCAGCTGTGCCCCTTTAAATGTGCTCAGCATGCAGCCTGTTTTTCTGTCTGTATCCCCACTGTGCTCTCTTCTGCCTTTAATTCAGCCTTCCTTCTAGCACCTCCCACTATCCTCTCTCTCTGTTTCAAAGCATCCCGATTAGCAGGAACAACACTGAGCAGAGAAGCGGTGCCAGAGAGTAGGAGGAGATTTTGTCCCCGTGAGAGGAATGACCTTCATCCCTTCACTCTGTCACTGAACCATGATCACAACCTCTGGTTCCTTCCGCTGCCTTAGAGGAGCTGGACAGACACCCTATGAGAAGCAAGCCAGGCTGCTCCAGCTCACTGGGATAGAATAAAATGTTAGTTTTGAATGAGTTAGCAAAAACAGCTCCAACTGATTCAACGGGCTCACCTAAGAATTACATGAAGAATCACCTCTCCATTGCATTTTTCCAGCTGCAAACAACCGCACAGCAGGTTCCAGGACTGTGTTCTTGGTCAGGAGCCCCCTCCCAGGGTGCACACAGACCCACGCTCCTCATTCCCCACAAACACAGCCCATTGCTCCTCTCTGCTCTCCTGCTTCAGCAACGCACCCTGGCTACTCCGCTACTGCCAGTCTTGACCACAGTACGCACCCGATTCTGGAACGGAGACATTTAATTACTGCTATTTGGTCTTGCTTTTGCTTGTTTCATTTGTTATGTGGCTTTGGAATCCAGAGACATAGGCATATGGCTTTGTAAGAGCTAAAAACAAATCTGTTTTGCTGCACACTTCTAACAATAATTAAATACAAACTTTCCTTGAAGCTTCTCTTGCAACTAGAACGACTACAGCATTTTTCCTTCTGCAGGGATGCGCTGCTCTCTGCAAGACAAGACTGTCCATGACAGCAAGCTCCAACCACTCCACAATTACATGGGGTCGAGAAAAAATGCTCATCACCTTTCCATCAAGTGTGGCTCACTCACAGTACCAGAAGGTCCAGAAGTCACCCAAGCAACCAAGCACAGCCTAGCAGGTGCCAGTCCTGCACAGCCCCGCTTGCTGCAAGCCTCCTCTGGCTCGTGGCAGTGCCAGCTCACACAAATGGAAAGCATATGCTGAAGTTTCAAGAAATTACTTTCCTAGAAAAAGAAAACATATACAGGGAATTTTTGTTTGAGAATTAATTTTCCAAATACAAGTTTCATTTTCCTACTCAGAGCTTCTCCCTGCAGCTGCAAATTCTAGAATTTACGTATTAAAATATTTTAAAACTTAAAGTCACAGTCAAGACAAGCATTCTGGCTTATATTTTTTTTATGTGAACCTTTCCTTTGAAAAGTGGGAGAGAAAACAAATTTGCTGCTTCTATTGCAAATGATGGAGCACCAGGTTAGCGAGGGCTCATCGCTGGCGTTGAGCAACATCAAACTGCTGGCTCCAGGCTCTGTTCTGTTTGTGTGTGCATAATCGGGTCTTTGGAAAGAGAAGTCGATGGGCTTCAGGCAGCAGCTGTGACAAGGAGACACTACATGAAAATTGTTTTTATTCATGCTCCCAAGGCATCTATCCTAAACAAAAGGCTATAGGTGCTGACAAGCTTCAGCACTACAGATTAAACCAAGACAGGAAAAGTAATTGAAGGAGAAAAATAAACAAAGGAATATTTTAGTAATCTCGAGGATGAAAGGCTCTTTTGACTGGCTTTGCTAGCCTTCTAACACAAACCTTTAGCTTTGCTTGGAAGAATACTAGATTCTCTACGGGATGCCAAGTCATGAATCCATCAGAAAAATCTATTTTTGAAATCTTTCTATCATGCTACCAAAAGCAGAAGTTGTGTTGACAAAAGTGTCCATTGCGCTTGACACAGCCTTTCCTTGTTCCTTGTTTCAAAAACCATGAAGGAGGCTGGGACTAAGGGATTTATAGATGTTAAGCAAAGCCCGTCTCTTTAATCTGAAATCTGTCTTGCTTTGCCCTTAGGTTGACATTTATTGTTTAAAAACCTTGAGAAAATGTACTGAGGAATTGCCCATTCCCATCAGTTTCAGTATGAAATGTTTAAAGTGCACATATTTCATCTAGTGCCAGGTCCAGGATCACAGCCAGGTCTTGTTTGACAACCAGATGACTAACACAAAGGGGTTCCCCTTATGAAAACGTTTAGATATGTGAATTGGCACACGCGAGCAGATCACAACATACCCTTTTGGGAGCCAGATCACAGTCATGTGCAGGGCATATGGGCAGCCACATGAAAAGCACGCTGCCACGCCGAGCGGGGAATGGTCGTGTTGAATAAGCAGGAGAGCAAACGTGAGGGTCATTTTATATTTCACTGTAATGCGCAGAGCTGCTTAAGGGTGTTAAATGGAAACAATTTTAAGAGTGCAAATGAAAACTGACCGCACGCTGCCTGGAGGTTGAGTAATGCCGATGTGTAAATTTGTGATTACTCAGTGCACACATGGCCTGTGCCTTTGGCATGGGAGTAGGGTTCCCACATCAACTGTAGGCATGAGGCATCAACTAAAGATGTGAGTGGCGCTCTCATAGGGTCGCCTTCATCTTCAACTATAAAACAATTTATTCTAATTAAACAGAAGTATTTTCTGCCTGTCAATGCAAATGAGTCCCTGAAATACAAATCTACTGAATCAGAAGTGAGAGAAGCATCCCTGTGATATCCCAGGTCAGACTCCGAGCAAATGAAACATTAAAAAAAAAAAAAAAAAAAAAAACCCAAAATGTTTTGGGAGGTGCAGAAATATTGTAAAAATGAACTTCACCTCTTTTTTATATTCTTTGTATGGCCTTCTCCATGCTACCAACCTTACACCTGTACATTGCCAGCTCTGGAAAGAAAACCCAAACACTGTGCTCCATTCACTAGATCTCTGCAAGCCCTTCAGACAGATGACAGAGACCCAACAGCTCAGCTTATCCTTCCATCCCCTGGCCCAAAGCTGGCCAGGACAAAGTGTCAGCTTGGCACGTGGCTCAGCACAGCCCTGTGACGCTGCACGTAGAATGGAAAGCAGCTTCCCAGCACATGGTGCCATGCTGACAGTCTCACTGCCCCTGGAACAGCACAAGAGCACACCAGGAGGCTGCCAGGCTGCTGGGCCTTCTCTTCAAGTCATTGTGCAATGACTACAAAGTTATGGTAAGTTAAATGGCAGTATTTGACTTGGTAAATATTTTGCATGAAGACAAGGCAACACGATCACAAAGAATTTCTTGGCAGGGGGTGCTCTCTCAATTAATATTTACTCATCAACTCCCTGTCATTCCACCACACCGATTCCAAAATCCTAACAGCTATGCACATATGACTCTCCGTGGACATGTTTTAGCTGGGGAATCTTCTTTTGCAGCTCTTAGGAGGTCCAGCTGTTCCTGCAGCTCCCTCTGAAGCTTTGATTCCTCCTCATTACCACCTGTAGACACTTCCGTGCAACGACTGTGCGACAGCACCACAGAACAAGAGATGTCCTTAACAAAGCCAATCTCCAATTTCCTTTTGATTTTTGTGCAGTAAGATGTTTCCAGGGCACTGCTGTTCCGTCAGATCCTAAGTGACAAAAAACACAAGAATTTAGAAGAATAAAATGGTGCAGTGCCCACCCCAACCCACCAAAGCAATGTGGATGTAGGATCAGCAGACATGTCATCTGTTTTGACCATGGCACGAACCATCAAAAATTAAATTATGAAACTCTCCCTGGCTGTTATGCCTTATGCTAAAAACACCAAGCAGGCACTGCGAGGCTATGGTGGAACAGCTGCCTTTACCCATCGTGTTCAGGAGCCCACTGTATTCCCTCAGCAACTGGGAAATGACCTGAAATACTCGGTTATTCTCCAAGCCACAACTGAGCCAAGACGCAGACTTCCTAGTGGGATACTTCAAAAAGGCAAACTCATCTTGAAAAAACATTTTAAACTAACATTTTGGTTTATAAATTTCTCCCACCTCCCATGTAAAGCAGAGCCTACTCAGGAGGTTATCATGGGAGAATCCTGCTGGAAAGGACCTCACAAAGTTATCTGGTCCAACCTCCAGCTTAGCACAGGTCAGCTATGAGACCAATGCTCAGGACCAACCACTCCGTTCTTGAAGCTCTCCCAAGGATGGAGACTGAAGAGCCTCTCTGGAGAATCCTGATCCATTGCCACGTAGCAAATTGGCTCACAACCAAGGCTAGTTCAATGTGCCTGCTGTGCAGCTCCAGCAGAACACTTCTGGAAGTCTGCCAGCTGCCTCCAAAATGCTTGGTGAAGAGGAATTTTCAAGTGCCTGTCTTACTGTCAGCAGCCTCCATCATTAAAGAGTCATTGTGTCGCACTGTAATATGGGGGTCGTGTTCAGAGCTGACAGTGAAATATCCTCCTGCCTGCACACCAAAGGCACGTTTTCTGCTTCTGTTTCAGATACCTTCGATACATCTCCCATTTCACTGTAAAACTGCTACGCCACATATCAACACTATTATAATAGCTGACAGCAGCTAGTAATTTCTGCTGTTAAGATTGCAAATGACCTTCAGATAGCTTTGCATTCTTACAACTTTCTCAAGTACCATGGGGACTGAAGTCTGATAAAACTGCTTCCAATGGTAACAGCAAACACAGAACACACAACCATGATTCAAGTAATTTATGTGGTCAGTTGAAGAATGTGGCAGGCTATTTCATATGCTTACAAATCAAATGAGCAAACTCAATGTTCAATACAGTCTCCTTCTCTTACTTAATGCAGAGTAACACGTTTCTTCTGTTCCATCATCAATCAGAACAGGATCCTGAACTGAATGCATCGGGGGCTGCTGAATTTGCTTCAGTGATTTCAGCACCGAATCAGACGAACATGCAAAAATAGAATAAATCTATTTTCACTCCCCAAAATCTATGGATGAAGTAATCTCCACTTGTAAAGGCAGAGCACTCATTTCTCCCTCCTGAACATGAGGGCTTCAACACATTATGCAAGTGCACGTTAATTTCTTGGACAGAAAGCTAGATATAATTGAATTACAGACACGCATTGGAAACACCATAAGTGAACTACACAAAATGCCACCTTTCTATTTATGCAAAGGATTTACTATTATTAATCATTGCTGACTGCCAGCTTAGTGCTCTGCAGTTATTCTCACCTCTGATAGGAAGCCACTTACAAATGGGGAGATGTGCTTCTGGTTTATCTCATCTGGGGATACAAATGAGTTGTTACCGCCTTATCTCGCCATAACATTGCAGAGCCAGTAGTGAAATCCACATGATTTAGGTTCACACCGGGTGGGAAATGCTGAACATGGCTCTTTTCTTCCCTGGGCTCTTTTCTTAGCTCCAGGCTTTGCACCATGCCAAGAAAAAGCTCCCTAAACATTCTTGTCTGAGAACCTGACAGAACAACTGGCAAACTGGGGCCTATATTTCTTATAGCCATTAACGTACATTCAACAGTCATCCTGCCTTTGCTCTGTGAGCCTGCACACATCCAAAGGGAAAAAAAAAAAGCCTGGAATAATATCAGCAAATGCTGTGATTAACTTCGCCATGGCAAAACTGCCAGGTGAGGGTTTTTCAGGTTGGCCCTGGCTTCACCCCATCTTACCCTGCTGCATGGCACACCTGGGCAGAGAAGGTCAGCAAGAAAGGAGTGCCAAAGGAGTGAACAGCACTGCGATTCATTGGAGCACCCACTCTGTTATCAGGCCTGGGAGCAGGATGTGGGATTTGTGCCTCATTTCGTGTTAATTCTTCACACTGCCGAGCTGGCTGCCAAATAAATGTAGCAGCCAGTGAACACTGACCTTACCAGTTTTAGAACATCAATTATCGTCATTATATTATTAAAACCAGCAACACGCCTGGAATTACACCAGTATGGAGATGATCTCTGACCAAGCAACTTCCTGCCATATGGAGATAACCACATTAGTCCATAGCACATTCACACTCATTTAAAGTGTATTACACAGCAAGTATTGGTGTAATGATAACAGCACATTCAGTACAGGGGAGGACTGGGAGGGGGTTAGACACTAAAAAAGTCTGTCTATTTCTCCATTTCATTGTATAGCAAGCGTCACATTGCTTCCAGATTCAAATATAGAATGTCCTTATGGCAGCCACATTCAAACCTGCACGCTCAGATGGATGCACGTTACTTCTACTGCCAAAACATGGCATGCTTTTAATAAAGTTCACCACCCTAACGCAGTCAACAGTACCTCTGTGAGCATCTGACCACAGGCACAGACTGAGCATAACCACTCAGCATGAGACAGCAGGTATTCTCGCTCAGTGTTGTACTCAGAGCAGCTGCTGCCTTTCAGTGAATCCAACAGAGCTACTGCTGCACCTCAGCATTATTTCAGGCATTGATCATTACTGCAGAAAACATTTTGCTCAGAGCTGACAGCTGTCACCCACTGTCCTTGAAGAACTGGCTCTGTCAGGACTGATTTTAAGTCCAAAGTCAGGAAGAACTTCATTGTTCCTTTATTTTTTCTACTTAGTCTTACTTGGTCTTAAAAGTTACACATATCTCTATGATTTTTTTTACTCCCAGTATTATGTTTTAAAGCAATTAAAGACTAAGACTTACAGATGTGCCTGTGAGGAAACTGGCATCCAAGATGTTAAATGCCTGCGCAGCGCTGCAGAGTGCAGTTCATATTCACAGGAGGTTTCCACTAACTTGCTTGGGCAAACTGAGCAAATGTCAGTGGGAATTCTGACCCTGTGCATAACATTAATCTTCATAACTACTCGTCCAGATGTTTACATGTTCCTAGGATGGAGATGGATTTCACTCATGTTAATTTTTGCTATTTGGAAGAAGAAACTGAGGATCTGGCATCCATCTAGTTCTGTGCTCAGCTGAGGACAGAGATCCCTCATTGCAGCAACGCCACCTCCAAGGGCACAAAGTCTGTGCTACCAATCAGATTCCTATACCTATGGAAATCTCCAGCCTGTGTCACCTGCCACACAGTCCCCAAAGGCTCACCGCTAGGTTAGAGATGTTTTTGCCTACCAAACAGCCTCTTAAGCTACATTTAAAATCAGATGTGCTTGTGGTTTGCTGCGGATAACTGCTGTTCAGAAACTATGACCTGATTAATGCTGACCTGAAGAACCAGGTAACAGTAGCAAATTGCAAACTGCAGGAAGAATACAAGGGTCCTTTTAAATCTTTTAGATGATGTGATCTCAAATCCAGTTTCAATATGCCTACATAGTCTCTGCTGTGCCTTCCTGACAGCAGCACCCAGCAGGGAAGACTGCCAGTCAGACACTCCAGCATGTCTCCATCACCTGGGATCACCAACATCACTGTGAGGCACCGAAGCTTCATTAGTGACTTCTGCAAGGTTATATAGGAGTGCTGGTTTTGTCAGCCAGTCATCCAACAGGAATACAAGCTGGTATGCAGCCCCCTAGCACAACCCTTTCTCCCCAGCATACTTTCCCAATGAGACACTTGGTTCTATTTAAGCCTGAACAACATTGATAGAATCCACTGCTCCCCCAGAAATGAGCACAACCCAGACTCTGCTGGACTGTCAGTCTTTGCCCTTGTTATCTCAGCTGATAGGAGGCTGCCCTAGCAAATAACTGCCCTGGGCAACCTGAAAGAAAGCTCTGAGGAAAACTGCCATTATAAAAAATTAATCTTTACATAGGAGAAGCTGGTTAGACAGGATCACTATAGGATTTTTAAGCTGACTTCAAAATGCTACTAATTAGGCAGAAGATTCATTTGAGTCATGTATGGAAAGAAGCCCAGGGCCTCCACCCTCCACCTATTTACGAGAAGGCCGCATCCTTACACCTCGTGTTCCTGCTGCCATCTGCCATTGCCTGCTGCAGCTTCCTGAGACACTGGTGAATCCTGAGTCTCCCATGGTCCATTAAACGAAGCGTACAGACACTGGGGAGAGAGTTCTCATTTCATCAGAACAAGATCTTGAGCTGCTTTTGTTTCTGTGGTTTTTGTTTTGTCCCCTGTCAGCAAGTCTGTGCGACACACTGAAGGTACTGACATACTGTGCTGGCTTATCTGGAACTAATCACCCTGCGTTTCAGCATGTGTCCTGCAAAGGGATGGCACACGCTCAGTTTGCAGTTTCAAAGATCACACTGTTTGTTAGCACAGTCAGCAGTTTACCAAACAGAAAATGCAACTCTGCTCCTCCAGGAGCTCCCTGAGCGGTGCCTAGGCAGACTTCTGCAGCTCTGTTCTTTCGCTGGCTGCTTTGAACCAAGCTGCCTGCAACAGATCCTAAGAGATTTAAAATCTGCAGGTTAGGTCGCTTCAGTCATGCCTGTGAAGTGCCCAACATTTATTTGATAAGATCCTTATATTTTTACTTCTATCTTCCCTGTTAGTGACTCATTAAACCAACAATTTGCAACTTTTGACTGATCAAAGGGCAATTTTTCAGAAATTGAAACAAGTCGTTAGATTATTCAGTGTCTGATGATAGAGGAATAGAATCTCACAGATTCCTCAGGTCAGCTGTTCCCATGGTTTACAACAGCACAACTTCCAGTTTCATGGCATTACCTCACTACCTGCTTCTGCCTCCATTCCAGCTTGGAAGTCCCCCAGTGTTCCCCTTTACCACAGGAGCCTCTGGTCAAAAAAGGGGGTAGGACCTCTTACTGGGAAAAGACCCAAAGGGAACTGCAAAGAAGGAAAGCTTCTACGATATATGGTGATGAATGGAACAGGGGACGCTTTCAAATGCACTATTTTCCACAGCTGACTTTTCATACAGAAACTATGCATTCCTATTACTAGATTGTTTGGAATTCCCAGTGCCTTTTGAGGATGGAGACCAAGATGTCAGAGCTATTGCTTTCTTTCTGATGTATTCTGACCATTCGTGTTCCAAAAACATTTGCCATGGGAGCGTCTGGTGCAAGAGATTAAATAGCCAAGTTTGAGATGTGCACACAAGACTCGTGTTTTGATGGCTGCCGTTGTTTTGACAGCTGTAGAGATCTGCTGTCAGCTTCTACCTCTGCTGCTTCCCTTCATATGCTGATAAATGTGAATACGTGTGCAAATCTCTCATAAAAACAGAGTTTGTTTGTGGGAAGAAAGAGTTCCAAGGAGGATTTGTTCGTTCTGTTTTTCCTTTCATACTGAAAGGAAGATCAGTAGATATACTGATCAGTTATCAGTAGATATACTGAAATCACAACTTCCTTCTGGCCTCTGTTCCATTCAAGACCTCATGGAGACTTCAGCTCATGTTCCTGTCCTTGTGGCAGCACCGTTACTGCAGGGAGCCAGTGCTGAGACACTTCAAGGTGGCAATGCAGGGGAATATAATGCATATTTCTGTTGGATTAGTTCTCTACTGGCTGAATGTGACAGAACAGCTTGGCCCAGGTTCAGGTCAGTGAATTAATGACAATTATTTTTTCCAGACTCGATCAGATAAACAAAAGATAACTGGAAAAAAAAAAAGAAAAAAAAAAGTAAATAAGCATGTATTTAACATGCCTTGATGAAAGAAATGGAAATTACCCTACCTGACAGAATCAATAAAGACTCATTAACTGCCGGGAAGATTAATGGGCTATGAGAAGAGTAGATATACAGCCATTAATCTTTCCTGAGATGCTGCATAAGTAATGATTACGGTGGCCCTCCTTCATTAGCAAATCCATACTGTGCAAACTACCATAGGGTACACAAGCAGGCTCAGCCTATGAGCTCAGCTCCTTCAGCTTCTGGTTACTGCAGCAGGAATGTGTAAGTGGATCATCCACTTACAGGAACAGTGCTGCTCAGGATTTTCTCCAGACACCTATCTGCAAACCATTTGCTCTTTAACTCCTTGCTCTCTAGGCAACAACCAAATTAGCTCCATGACACACACCCTGCACTGCACATCTGGTGGTTGCTGTATGGAGCCCCGTGGCCTTGTGTCAGCTCACAGCAATGCAGGAACTCAAGGAAATCTTCTAGCTCTTTTAATTGCTGCAGACCCAGCCCTGTGTGCTCAGCAGAAGGGCTGCAAACTCCTTCCTCTGCTGCAGTGCAGTAAGAAACTGTGATCCAGCAACCTGTCCTAAGGTGCCATGGTGTCAACAGAGAGTAGAGAGCAAATGTATGATGAACACAAAATGGGCTACGTCTCCATTCCTGAGCATACTCAGAGAAACAAAAGCAGAACACAAATAGCTTCAAATTCCAAAGAAAAAGAGGACCAAATATTATGATTGCCAAGACCGTAACTCTGCATACATCCAAAGCTTGAAACAGATCTTGTAAGTACTTAACACTGCATGATATCATCTGTAACGCTATATGAGAAGCTTTAAAAGCAGATTCATATAGAAAACAATAAATCATCTGCTTCAGTGGCTGGCAGCCAGGGTGACGTTACCAAATACCATCCCCACCGGCCCCACAGCTGAGTGGGGCATTCCCCAGGGCTGTGTGTGCTCTGGGAGCACTGCCACAGTGGCCCTGCAGCACAGACAGCCCCGCACTGAGCCCTGTCCCCAACTCAGGTGATGGGAGCCCATCACTGGGGCACAAATCCCCAGGGACAGCTGGGAGAGCTGGAGCTGCTCCGAACAGGAGTGACCTGGAATCCCTCTTTCTGGAAGAGCTCAGGAAGGGAGGGAGGGAGAAACTGAGGTATGCACAAGATGGAAAGCCATGATTCAGCTCTGCTTGCCTTGCTGTGCATCCCCTGCAGCCCACCCGGCCATGGGGGCACTGCAGCCTTTGGCCAAAAGAAGGTGCTCTGCCCGCACCCTGAGACAGCTGTGCCCCTGCATCTCTGTGCCTCCCAGCTGTCTCTTGCACCATACATATTTATTTTCGTGTGCCCCCAAATTAATCCTTTTCCACTGGACTAGCATTAAGTGTCAGAAAAAAAACAAAACTCTTCATGCCTACATTTTGGGGAGAACAAGCACACACAGTTGCTTGGATAGCAGAAATACCCACTTCTTTTCCAACAACAGAAATCCACGGAAGCTCTCAGTTCATAGGGTAACAGCAGTGCCCCATTATTCCAACACTATTTGCTTTAATTACCTTTTTACTCATTGCTTCATCGCATTCTGCTGCTCTCCCAAAGAGGCCAGTCCCACCCAATGCATTTGTTTGTCAACTTCATCATCTACAGAATCTACAGAACCTTCTGCATCCAGTCTAATCCTGCCTACTCAGAGATGTTAATTCCATAGATCCCAGAGCATCTCTGGGGGATTTTGCCACTTCTATGGCCTAGGTTGCCTTCCCTGTACAGTTATAAACTTTCACTTAACCAAAAGCCTACAGTTATCTGCAGAGCCCTCTGTTTTCCAGACTTCCCTGAGACCTGATTAAATGGAGGTCAGATGTGCTCCCCGAGGGTTCATTCCACAAAGTTCTTCATGTGCTGAAGTCAGGCTCCAGTGCACAGGTTTATGTGTGAGCCATGAATCCATCCACCCGAAGTCAGCCTTCAGTGCAAACTCTCACCTTGCTGGGTTGAGATGCCTTTGAATGTGGTTATGAGAACCAACTACCTCTGAGGTCAAGTTACCCCAAATTATGATGGCCAGATGTTCTGTTAGAATGACACCCAGTTAAGTGCTTTTAGCTGAACCTCTGGCTACAGCGATTAAACACTCTCATTCTCCTAACCGATTGGTCATTGCTAAAAGCCTGAAAGGCTTCAAAAATCAAGTCCTCTTCCATTTTCAATGACACAGGCAGGAAGTGGTTACAAAGCACTACCAAAAAATCACTTTCTTGGACTTCCATGAATTGTATACCACATAACTTACTTATTTTTGATCGAAATATGTCAGCCTAAAAAGAAATTACTTGAAGCTGTTCCTCTGAAAACGCTAAGCTGTACCACCTTTCTCAAAATGTGAATCACAGAATGGCCAGGGTCAGAAGGGACCTCAAGGATCATGAAGCTCCAACCCCCCTGCCACATGCAGGGCCACCAACCTCCCCATTTAATACCAGACCAGGCTGCCCAGGGCCCCATCCAACCTGGTCTCAAACACCTCCAGGGACAGGGCTTCCACAGCCTCTCTAGAGTGCTGGTGAGCTCTAGGCAGCCTCACCACTCTCTCTGTAAAGAACTTTCCCCTGACATCCAATATAAATCTTCCCTCCCTCAACTTAAAACCATTTCCCCTTGTCCTGCTGTTATCTACCCTTGTAAAGAGTCGACTCCCCTGTATCTCTTCTAATTGGAAGTCCTAATTAGAAGTGTCACTCAAAATGGATTTTGAGGATAAACAAAACTTGGATTTAAGTTCTCTTTCTGCAGAGATGGCAGTGTTTGCAAAAATGTGCCTTGAAACGCTTTCCTCTCATCCTTCAATTGGGACCAGTTTGTTGAAGAATCTGAAGGACATGACATCTATAAGTTCCATTTGTATGGTCAGAACTGAGGCACAGGATGGAGGAGCAGCACCTCGCTGCAGGGCCAGCTGTCTGGGCACACAGCATGCATTGCTGGCAGCCGGAGCGAGCACTGAAGGAATGAGAGGTACTGCTTTGTGTTCTCAGCCACTGCAACTCCAGAATAAGGTCCTACTCAAGGGCAGTACCCTGCACACACAGCTCCACTCCTAATACACACAGCACACGTGTGCTGTTGGTAAGAGGGGAATACAGCCCTCAGACTTTTTACTATGGGAGGCTTCTCTCATTGGCAGGAAAGGCTGTCTGTGATAGTAACGTATCAGGTTCAAAGTAAAAGAGCCAGCACCAAGTTAGAGTTCAACACTGAAAGTAAACAGATCAGTGTAACTCAGGTACTATTGCATCTCTACTTATTTGCAAGCAAAACAAGTTTACAAGTTTGGCACCATAAAGAGGAACAATGTGCAACAAACCTGAGAAGCATGACATAAACTCAAACTGCCTATCAGCCTGGGCTGGGCTCAGTGTGCAGACCACTCTGTGTGCAGACCACTCTGCAGGACCCAGCCCCACTGCACCCAAACCCCTGACAGGTCCCAGCACATCCACTGCCAATCCAGACATGCTTACTAATTGGGGAAAACGA